AATATCAGCTCCGTACAATAGTACTGTCTTGATTTTCTTATTGAAAATTCTGACAGTTTTTTGAGTTGCAGATGTCCTTCAATCTTATGAATGTTGGTCTTGCTTTGTCAGTCCGTGCCTCAACGCCTGCATCACATCCCGCTTGCTTATCAGTGATACTGCTGAGGTTCGTGAAAGTTTCCACCTCCAGAGCTTCCCCATGAAGTTTAACTTGGTTGGTCTTCACTTTATATTTTAGGATATTACTTTTTCTCATGTGAATGTTGAGGCCTGCTGCTGTGGAGACTGACACTACTTTGACTGTCTTCACCTGTATTTGTTGCTGTGAATGGGATAGAGAAGCTAGGTCATCTGTGAAGTCCATGTAGATCACTAACGTAGATGATCTATGTCGAAATGATTGGAGGCCGACTCGAGTTAGACGTGAATAGTGTGACGAACCAACTACCGTCGAAGTCACACCTCGTGGTCAGCACCTTACGTGGACTACCCCCATTGACGTAACAAGGTACTATAGATGCTTTGAAGACTGTACAACACAAAGGACGTTATTACAGAAATATATTAGTTAAGGTAGATACAGGCGAAAGTAAGACCACTACCGCATGGGCCAGTCCATGGCGTATGATTAACTAATGCGCGTTGCTTGTACATGACCTTGGCAGGGAGCGATGATCTGTTCGACATTCAGTGATCCAACTGCCGGATTATTTGGCTAGGGCTCAGTGACATTTCACTGGCCCTACATCCAAATAGTCTATCTGCATCCAAGCTATCCACTGTATTCTGTGCTTCCCCTCAGATATGGAGGTCTTCATGATCAACTTAACTACCAGAAGAAAGAGAAAGGGGGATAGTGAGCAGCTTTGTCTGTCATTGGTCTTCACTTGGAATACATTCTTGAACCGCACTCAATGCACAAAGTTGCAGTGCAGTCTGTTGTAAGAATTCCATACGATTGTGACAATCTTCTCAGATAGATCATAGTGTCGAGCAACGTCCCATGAGGTTGTAGTGGCATTGGACAATAGCCACACAATCCACAAAGCTGTGAACACGAGACTACTCAGAAAATAGATATTCAATATTTAACTCGGGGAAATACCTAACAATGGAGAAGGCGCGGAGAATGAATTGAATGGACTAGAGTTGATCGAACGGCATGGCTCGGCCATGCAGGCGTTGTCCCTGCTGAATGTTATCTTATATCTTCTATTCATATTAAATATATTGTTCTTTCTCTAGCCTAACCTTGTTCTACATCATGTATTGGTAATTGATACGATACAGTGAGTTGGTGTAGTCGATGGTGTGACTTCCACGTAAGATCTTATAGATTAGGCAGTTATATCATGACGAATCTACAATTTTGGGATTAGGTCTATTATTAGAGCAATTCTACATTGGTGAGCCCAACTAAAGAAACGCAACCTATTATTGTTAATCCTTATTTCCACCTTAACTTTCTCAATCGGTTTTTATTTTTGTAAACCCAGTATTCTAATAGTCCTTTGATTAATGGTCACATATATTATCGTAATGTTATATCTATTAGTTCACATAACTTACAAGCTCAATCGATGATAAAAGTTGATCATCTATATCAACTAATTAGCTTTGATGGTTCGTTAACAAGCTTTAATAACATTTACATGCTTCAGCGACATAGACTTGTTTAAGCATCAAGCTCTAGCAAATATGACCTGTAAATAGCGTAAATATACATTGACTAACAATGCAATCAAGGACTAAATAGTTATATGGATCTAATTCTAAGTGTTCCTTCACTTAACACCATCCTGTTTTAAACTACGCATTATCCTGTAATATCTTTCCTTCCGACCACTGCCTGCCTAATTTCATATTCTCGAGTTCCATTGCCAAATAACAAGGATGACACTTCTCCAAAAAAATACGGTGAGTTTCAGCTATAAGTTTTCTGCAATCATAAGTTCATTTTAGATGGCTCATTCAATGGCACACATGATTATCTGGATTCATTCAGTTGTTCTGATCAGAGCGAGTCCCAAAAACCTCAACAGCATCAAGCACCCTGGAAGTGATTACCATACTGCATGTTTTTTTCTGGATGCTTTTGGATGATTACTACTCCTCACGAATGGCGTTATATATGTCGTCCACTGAATAATCTAGTTTTCGAAAATAATCCAGGCGATTTCAACTATTTTACTGGATGATTTTTTGTACTTAACATGTATATGTTTTCCAGTTGCTTTTGCCATATATTTGTAAGTGTCACTAAGCTAAATGCAGTAACTTCTTATGGAATGTTTATAACGCGTTACATTCCTGCCTGAAGTTTCATAAGCAGTCTTGACTTTAAAATTACTTTTCCTGGTCATGTTCATTATTTTTAAATCGTCATATACTTCAACAACCTGCATGTTAACCTGGCCCGTACATACGTTACACTATATCTTCATATCTTTTGAATTTAGAAATCATCTGAATCGCCTTTAACATTTATCAATAAACCCATCATAGTCGTTGTTGCTAATCGTATTTGGGTTTATGGATTGGTTTATCATATTAGCAGCCTAAAATGCGGACATAGTTTAGATAATAAGATTAAAAATTTAGGTACTATCAACTGCACTAGTAAAATAACTAAATCCCTAGGTAGCTGTTGGCTAAACAAACGTTTAAAATCAAAACTCCTTAGCCTACTAGAATTAACACTAAACTAATCTTTCTGATATGAATTTTATAATTAAATTAGGCGTCTCGGATTCTTTAACGTTACAAATTTCTGATAATTTCGAATCACCTAAAGCAACAATACCTATTTTTCCACTGACTAATCCTCATTCAACACTATAACTAGTTAAACATAATAGTTTCAGGATATCGTCATAAAGCATTGTCATGACTTGATAATCACGTAATGATTGATAATATTAATGAAACTAACATAACCGGTCAGCAAATCGACTTAAAATTATCACTAGTGTTGTTTTTCTTTTATCTTCATTCACTACAGATGATTACAGTATGTTTCTCTATCAGTTGCTCATTCAGTAAATATCTCAAAACCTTGTCAGTCTAATTGATGGTTTAGCGACACAATAATGCATGCAAATAATCAGTATAAGCAGTCGAGCAAATCTCCTGCAAACTGAAAACATCAATGTCGAATTTACCCCAACACTGACTAAGGTTCAAGCCATTATCATAGACATGAGTTGGGAGTGTACTCCCCCTGGTTACAACTTATGTTCTCCCTGTTAATCACATGAGCATCACTCACGGTTAATCATCTTGTAAAAGCGTATTTGGCCGAGTACATCTTACAGCACCACATCACTTAGTAATGTGACACAGGCCTAACTGATTTTAATAACTTATAACCACTATATCTCAATTAAATCGTATTCCGCCTTATTATAAACTGCATACTTGCAACTAACTTGTATGCCCAATCAGCCAGCAAGTATAAGTATAAATAAATAGTCTGCCGCAGATCAGAACATCGAGTCCAGAGCATGTCTCTTACGAGTACACTCATGTTTAACGATTTGTTCCTAGCTATCTGTCCAAAATTCATATAATCATCACTCACGTATTTAAATTTTATTTTGATAAACATTCATGTGTATTAGTAGTATTACTAAATTCTATCACGGTCAAGTAAAAATGAGGTTGAGAAAATCTCCCCGTAACTAAATAAACCGTATCAAACTAACTGGAACACTAGTTGGAATTCTTCTCCACGGTATACTTTTGTTCCTTCAGTTAGCCTACTAATACAGATGCAATTGGAATTCAACTCATATGGACAACTTACCGGCATGATCGTTATCTGATTTCATAATTTAAACTAAAACTAATACCAATATTAACATTTCTACAATATTCATTATTTTGATATTTCTTAACACAAAATAATTACTACCTATAAGTTAAGTTATTAACACGCATCGTTTTATTATTATTATTGTAATCCCATTTTTTATAGTTCAAATAATCTTCAACCAAATTTTCATTTTAAGCGTGTTAATCATGAAAGCAGATATTTTAAGATTATTACATGTATTTCCCGACAAGATGCTGCAGTTTTTTTTATTTATCTTTCAGCTTATCAATACCCGGAGGATCCTTATTATCCTTGGTAACCTCCGGCGCGCGACGACCCCATCCAATTTGGTATCGAACCAACATCACGTTGATTCTGGTGGGAGAGTAGTGTAGTGGCATTGGACAATAGCCACACAATCCACAAAGCTGTGAACACGAGACTACTCAGAAAATAGATATTCAATATTTAACTCGGGGAAATACCTAACAATGGAGAAGGCGCGGAGAATGAATTGAATGGACTAGAGTTGATCGAACGGCATGGCTCGGCCATGCAGGCGTTGTCCCTGCTGAATGTTATCTTATATCTTCTATTCATATTAAATATATTGTTCTTTCTCTAGCCTAACCTTGTTCTACATCATGTATTGGTAATTGATACGATACAGTGAGTTGGTGTAGTCGATGGTGTGACTTTCACGTAAGATCTTATAGATTAGGCAGTTATATCATGACGAATCTACAATTTTGGGATTAGGTCTATTATTAGAGCAATTCTACAACCTCTAGTCATTTTATTTTGTCATAAGCAGAATACTTATTCACGTAAATATTTAAATGATGTAAGTCTTGCTTATTCGTAGAGCATCATGATCAATTAGAGGTTGACAAACCATTGAAATATATAGCTGTATATAATCTGTATATTCAAAAATGTACTACGATATTAGAGGTAGATGAGTAATGAGGTTTAAAAAATGATATAAGAACTCACATCATCAGACATTGCAACTTCATGAACTTCTAGGGAATCCTTTTGAAAATAATCAAGACTATGTTGAACGTCTGTTATTATGCCTTTTGCTGATGAAATAATGACATTGACAGAATCCCAACGATCTGTATATGTGCCCACTACCGATAATCATGGTATTCCATAAAGAAAAATCTACACCCTCTTTATTCAGAAATGTTTTACTCTAACGTCAAAATGTACACAGACAATGAAGTTTAAGCCTTGGACGTTTTCGATACGTAGTGATTCTCTCGAAAGTGTGACATCTATGTGGTAAAAACTGCACAAAACCTTGATTATTACCAGAAGATGGCAAAAATGTACTCAGGGTCGTCGCAGATCCCTGAAACAACATAGAGTACAACGAAACAAATCAAGAATGCTGGGCAGCAACAATTTAAGCTATGGTTGACAAAACATGCTGTGGATCTACAAGAACTAAATCAACTCACGATAAAATTGAAAATTATTTTCATTTTGAGAGCATATTAAATGTCCAGAAAATTCTCATTCAGTCTTGTGGTAAACAAACAAAAAAATGTACAGTAGCTAAAAGTTTGAGGATAGTTTCAATATTATCCTTAAGTTAATGGAACCAGGAATCTATAATGATAGAACATGAAAGTTTGCTTGAATTACAGGTCGATGTATCGTAGTGTATGGATTCTGAGCTGACTAGATATCATAGGAGATATGCTGCACAGTGTATCCAAAAGTGATTTAGAGAGGATACTTGACCTACCGCCTTTAGTTAAATGTGTCCGGTAAAACTAATATGAACAGAGTAAACATCGAAGGCTTATTAAGCTTCTTGTTTTTGGGATCAATTTACCATCACAGTCTGTCAGCTAGAGCGTACAGTCCATACTTTTCTATCATTAATAAAATAACACTGACACCGTAATCACTTGTACATTCGTATAATAATATTATGAAAACTCCCTTCTTAATAAGTTAACTGGGTACTATGTTCATTCAGGCCAAACTGTAGTTCATTAAATGTCTTTACACGAACGTATATCAAATGTTGAAGGTTTTTAATTCAACAGAATTGGAAGGTGACATTATTGGAACTCTTTAAGCAGGATGTTGAGATGATAATGATAGGGAGGAGTTAGTAATTTGACTTTAAAACCCATACTAACCCTGTTCACTTTTTATGAAATATTGGTTATGAGAGTTAAGTCAGCTTTCATGTTATGACAATTACAAAATAAGTGTATGACAGGAGACTCCTTCGTAATTCAGATTATTTATCTCGAAGGTTTATGTGCACAACTTCAGACACTTGAAGCATACATGACCGGAGTCAGGTTAATGGGGTCAGATTTAAACGACACTAACGGTAAATAATTAGGTTAGCACTGAAAAAAAGAGGGATCCGTACTGTGATTGAAAACAGACAATAAGAAGCATTACTTCCAGATTTAGTGCTAGTCGACACTTTTCGGTGTGGCCTATCAGTAGATTCGACTTTTCTGTGTCAGAACGTTTAGGGGTTTTGCCCGATCGTTTACAATTGCCTAGTATCAAAATAAAGTTATCGAATCGAAAGAGTCAGCTCTAAACAAAAACATAACATTGCTTACTAAATAGATATTTAGGCTGAGAAGGCTTATCAAAAGCGTTCCGATGGTATGCCGATAATTGTTGATTTCAAGAAGGTAAAACTGCCTCACGAAAAACCGAAAGTATCGGGACACATTGTCACTAGAAAATCTGTATGCAGGCAAGATGGTAATTCAGAGAACTGTGGGCAAATGTAATACACGAAAACGCATGAAATTAGTGTGATATATCTAGGCCCAAATTTAGTGAAAATGATTGTTTAATTTTAGTTTAAGTTTTGTTGCATTCGTTATTCAACACTGATAGTGATCATATACCATTTCTAAAGTTGAAGCTGTGACAGATCGACTTAACTCGGAATCTCATGGCAAAGCAACATAAAAATCATATTCGTCTCAAATATACACTACTTAACTTAGAAGACTCAATATTCTGAATCAAACTGTTATATTTACGCAAAATTCTTAGTATTTGGATAGAGTTCAGGAAAACATCCAATTAAGATGGTAGATAAAAGCTATAAAAATAGACAGCCGTTGCAAAACTACGAACACCAACAACTAGGGGAAATGTAAAATACTGTAAACTTCCACTAACGTTTGATCGAAAGCCGTATTCTAATGAGCACAGTCAAGTTAGGAAAATAAAAGTTACCATAAATCAATGTAATTATCATAAAGTAAGTTTTGGAAGGTAATCAAATTCAAGAACTTACTTCTTGTGAACTCACAACAAATCTGACACTGATAGGTCTAATGAGAACTGGGGAATGAATAATGGAAAAATTATCGCTGAAGGACCCGTTAGTCTTTGGTATTATCGGTAAGGGAAATTCTAAAAAGGTACAAAAGTGTGATCAAGATTAGCGACGTTCGGACCGTCAGGACACCTGAGGTACATTTATTACTTAAGTCACTAACGTAAATGATTATCGGCAACAATTGATGCTACAATACAAATGTCAACGAACGAGCTTAGTGGTCCAGTAGTGAAATCATTTTTTCGGTTTATTACTTCAGACCTATTCTGTTGTTCACGTAACTGATCTAATCCGTTGCGTAGTCATTTCCCTGTTTTTGTTTTCTCTCTTGGGTAGAGCTGCATACGCCCGTGAGAGGATGATGCTGAAGGGAGTTAATTGGAAACTTAGTTAGGAATACAGTCATTACTATTTATTATTAAAAAGGAGGTCATTTTTCTTGGCTTATCAACATTTAGACCACTGTTGTGACATACAGGTTAGGCATAATGGTAAAATCTGATTGGTGGTTATAGATATTTATATGATGCACTAACATTGTGAATATGGGTTCAATCAATACTTGTATTGAACAAAGTTTAACATATGCATATGAATTTGGTGGGTAACTGCCCTACATATATACATGAAGCATATAACGCGAACAACTTGAGACATTTGCCAACTTTAGGGGAATTTACTAACTGTATAACAGGTATCAGAAGAATAACCAATAAAAAAACAAGCAATAATGAAACCTCTCTCTTTTAATACAACGCTATTTTCATGAAAAAAGTAATATATATCTCACAGGTACATGTATCTTTATTTAAAGTTAGGAAAAACACTCATAAATTCGTGTATAATTGTAACGACAATGAATGTATTAAATTACTTTACGTCAGCAGATAGTTATTGCTGCTATTTTCGGTGATGCTGTTGATGTACAATTGGGCAGCTACTATTGACTGATGTAATAACAGATGATTCTTTATAATTTTTAAGTGTCTGTACGTCTGCATGCATCGCACAGCTCATATTTGAAGATGACGACGAAGACGACGAGGAGGAACATATTCGAGAAGTTAACAAACAAGATGAAGATAAGTTGGTGTGGAAAGTTGTAGTAATAGGTTTTGTGAAGATTAGATTCTGTTTGTCTTTATAATGATAAGTTGCATGAGCATAAATTTCAGGGTAACTTGCAAAGTCTGTGAATGAAGTTATGGATGGGATGGCTGGTGCACAAAATCTAGAAGTCTGTAAAAAAGTATTATTAATACCACTATAATCATGATTTACTGAAGCAGAGTGGATAAGTATGTTACCGCGTGTATTTGTCGAGGTATTAGTAAACAATTGACCTATATTGCATGTTGGCAACAGAGATGACATCTAGAAATAATAAGAATCAATTTTATGGAAGTATTTCTCTCATCAATAATATGATCACAATATAGAAAATTAATTACTGGTTCATTGACTTCAAATAAATAACTCTTTTAGCATAAGAATACTATAAAACCTGAAGTCAGTGTTCAAAAATACAGAAAAAAGCTGTTTGTTGATTAATTTTACTATGGACATAAATTATTATGCGTGTTGTAACCAAAAATACTTAAGGACTCAAATTAAGATTACACCTATAGTTACCTATCTTAGTGAGTCTCTGATACTGGCTGAGGTGATCTCGACAATTAATAAATGACATATATAGTAAGAGGATAATGTAATATTCCTGAAGGATGTTACCACAAAATTACACAGGAGGAAGCTGAGTAGTTTTAAATTGTAAACCCCAATGTGTAAATATGAAATGTAATTAAATATGCACACATTTATGAACTAGGATGTCAGTAACAACTGTTTTTTTGATGGATAACAAATAAAATGTTGCGACTTATCCCAAAGGTTGTACGAACAGTAATCTTGAGGGTATAAATCAAGCTTTACGTGATCGTAACAGAATAGGACTGAGATATATTGACTAGTCCAGTATTTGTAAAATATTAGCATTTGTAAAAAACGCATGGGTCCATTATGCGATTAAAATAAATTTGAATTAAGAAACTATCTTGGAATATTTCTGATATGGCGAGTAATAGCTCAATAAACTGGAGTGGGAATGATATATGAAACTGGTTTTTTTCCAATCGTGTGTTATATGGATTTAACATTTTAAGAAAAATTACAGATACTTAATTGCATAATATGATATGATATATATGAATTATTATCGTTATATACAACGCAGTTTATTGTATACAACTCTGTCTGTTAATCTAACTGCAAATAAACCATATAAAATGTAGTGGCGAGACTATAATTTATGGACGAACCAATCAGATATAAGATAACGAGTCACAAATTTTGGCGCGAAATTCCTCCATACATTTTGCTAAATAGAGTTTTAGCATTATAGCTAATTTCAGTTCGTGATGAAAACCCTAAATCTAGTTTTTAACCCTAACCATCAACTGTAGATGAGAATTCTGACTGCTTTATAACCCTCACTTTTTCTTTATCAGTAGGTGTCCGCTCTCAAGGCCACTTTAGCGTCGCTCTAAGGTCGGCCATAAATTATAGTCCCACCAATGTAGTGTATTTCCAAATCACTTTGATTTATTTTGTGAGTGAAAGAAGTCCTAATCAGCGGCCTTCGTACCTTTTCTCGCATATTCAAGCTGTCGTGTAGATTTAGCCTGGGGTTATTAGAAGCAGCTAGGAAACCGGATGGAGCATTTATTTAGCAAGACTTATCAATTTTCACTGTTGCACAATATGTTCCAAATCTCAGACATACACCATAAACTGATGACTAATCACAGATGTGCCAAAAACTGAGTTTGGGCACGTGGTAGCTCAAAAACAGATAAAGCTCTGAAATAAAAATACCTAATTGATAGAAAACATAAGCACTAAAATAATATGCATCAAGTGGTTTTTGTTCGTATGATAAAATGTATGGAAGAAATTCGTTTGACTTACATCCTGTTGTTTATTAGATGTGAACTGTTTTTCACCTAAACAAAATTTTGTGGGATCATCAACCGAATCACTTGATGACTCTGTCAATGTTGCTGTTGTTGCAAAATACCCGGCATGACTGACAGGATCACATCGACTAGTACTTTTCGGTAAACACTCAAGTTGTTCTATTTTCATCGTAAGTTCTAAGATTTGTAAATCACGTTGTTTAAGGGTTTCTGAATAAAAATTTTTTACCAAAAAAAGATGATGATACAAGGCAATATAAAATACCATATCAATATTATGTCAAAAATTCTTGGGACAAAGTCAAACTAGAAGCACCAAACAAATGATTGGACAGTCAAGATTGCATATATTGTGAAAACGATTGACTAGAAGCATATGAGAAACACGCTAGTTATTATACTGAATTAAAACAGTGACTGGAGCATGATAGAGCTTTGAGAAAAACCGATAGGACCCTAAATTAGTGGCTATTGATCTGGTTAGTGCACGGATTTCCAGGATGAAATAGTAATGTCCAAAACGAACTGCAGTCATGTAAATGAAGAAAGTGAACGTAGTGTCATTAAAATGTCTTAGGTTTTCTTGGTTTGTATTACTTCCGCTGACTTGCCTTCGCAATGGTGTTGATAAATGATGTATCTTGAAATGATGCATTACAGTATCTGGTTTTAAGTAAAACCTTGTTTATAATAATTTAAAACCAATATCTTAGACAATTTACTTTTAAATTTTAGGGAAATATTTAGTTCCGTATACTCTAATCCATTTGGTATAAAAAGTATGAGGTAGTGAACATAAGACTCATCTATAAAATAACAGGATGTATTATAGAAGATTTTATGATAATATACGTATGATCATCGAAGACATGTCGGTGTACTTAGTAGATAAACTTGATAATAAGTACAAAGAAATGAAACTAAATGAGCGATTATTAATCTGACTTACTCTAATAATTATTGATTCATCTAGCCAAAATAAATAGGCTAACCTGTGACCAAACATAGAAACGAGTGATTCGGATTAGACGATCAATTAAACTTTATATTGACTTTACATATAAGTTAAAATATGATTAAGTGCTACGCAAGCTATAACTTTGAACTCCATTATCCGGCAAAAATTCATTTACTTAAACTATGATTGTCTTACATATGAGTTGGTATTGTAGTCTCAGAGCTAGATAATTTAGTTGTGAAGTTTTCATTGTTCTTCTGAACAATGTCATCGGTACGTTGTTCAAAGAGTGAGCCATTAAGATTTATCCACATTTGAAAGCTTGTACCGTTGACCTAAGATTTAGTTGGTTGTCATCTATAACTGTGTTGCTGGCGTATTTGTCTTGGCTGTTCTTCTCTTTTGGCTTTGCGGTTGTTAGTCCTTTAAGTTATTGCCTGATAGATTTGGTCGATTTCAATTTGTCTTTTGATTGGTGCCGGATCAGTGTATCAGATTTCTCTGGCTTTGTGTCTTCTTCTTCTTAATATTTCGACGTTTCTCTGGTCGAGATCATGTCCAGAATTATACATTCGTATCGACATGATTGCGAGTATACCTTATTATTTAACTGATGTCTACCCTGGGACTTGAACCCAGTACCGTCCACTACATACCAACGCCATCGTTTTGCCCACTTAGTGATTCAACTGATTGAAGGATTCAAAGAACCAATAAAAATTCACCCCATTGCACAAGCTACTCCAACTAAGCTTCAATCAACAGACATATTGAAATCGACCAAATCTATCAGGCAATAACTTAAAGGACTAACAACCGCAAAGCCAAAAGAGAAGAACAGCCAAGACAAATACGCCAGCAACACAGTTATAGATGACAACCAACTAAATCTTAGGTCAACGGTACAAGCTTTCAAATGTGGATAAATCTTAATGGCTCACTCTTTGAACAACGTACCGATGACATTGTTCAGAAGAACAATGAAAACTTCACAACTAAATTATCTAGCTCTGAGACCACATCTCTAACATCCTTAGTCTAAGCCACAAATATTCTCTACCATAAAAGCAAGTGCATCGGACAAGCTAACCTGTTAATTTATCGCACAATATGTGAATACTCGGATAACAGTAATTTAAAAGCATCAAAGTAATATGAGTGCACGAAAGATTTCCTATAGCTATGCTAGTTACGGCCCTTGAGGGCCTGAACTACATTAGTTGCATTAACTGATACGTCTCAGCTTAATCTTACCGTCTTTCATACATTAGACTTTCAAATCAATTTCTCTGTTTGAAATTCAGATTTAGTAATCCTTTTCATTGTTTTATGTGAAATATTCTAAGATGAGCCTTAAATTCCTTTTTGATAGACATATTACGAGAACCCAGTAAAAAATCACGTGTGTACTTATTGAGAGCCCAGGTGAATTTTAGCTGTCAATGTAATAATCTTGGTGGAAAAGTTCACTAGAGATTACAATGAACAGTAATCTTGGAGAAAAACCACTTTAAAAGTCCAGAATAGACTATTATGAATTTACTTGGACAATTATTTCCCTGTGTAAATAACTAAGATATCGTTTTTAATGGAGGTATGTAAAATTATTTATTCAGTGGTTATGACTGGAATTAGTTCTTCCGTTACCTTCATATCATAATGTTTTCCAAGAATTAAACCAGAATCGTAATCAGCTTTTTACAAAAATATAAAACTATTTCAGTGCAATTGGTTTCCCTTATGAATTTGAATAAGCTCAAAACAAAAATTGAGTCAGAATGATTTCAATTCATCTTATTTTTGGGGTTTCTCAACAGCTCCTTACAATCGTATTCGCATCAAAGTGTAACATTGAGATATGATATAATGTAGAGTAAGCAACATTGATGATGGAAAGAATAAGAACAACAGAAATTACCAACAACATATATAAAAAATGTAAGGTCATTTATAGATGGAATTCAGAAATACAAAGGATTACGGCAGTAATTATGTGGATTCTGGAGACTGATAAGATGGGCTATGATAATTATAGAGGATTTGAACAGTTCCACATCACAAATATATATAACAGAGTAATGAGAAGTTGAGAATAGTTAAATGGGTTACTTAATAACTATACAAGATTTGAAGAGCATGCTCTAAAGAATTTGAGACTGGGAGGTGCAACAACTCTACGCAGTGCAAAAGATCGGTATTTTATTGGTAGCGGGCATATTAACGACACTCCCGAGTCCTTCAAAATAATCAGCAGACAAAAAGTACAACTTCTCTTCAGTTTTCCAAAGCAGTAATAATCAGAAAATTCACATCAAGATTAATGTGTCCAGAAAGAGACAATAGTAAATTTATTATTCCGCTGAAACCATCCTTTCATTTACCCGTGTTTTACTCAACCGATTCTCTAGACTTATGTTTACATTCTTATCACTGGATGACATCTATTGAAAAGTCATCGAAAAGAATAGTGCAACTGATAGCCGTTTAAACTTAGTTTGAAACTCATAAGCAATGAGCAATCATTATCTTACACTAAATTGAATTAAAAATGATACATTTTTATGATAAACAGAATTGGAATCGAATTGTGTATATTTTCTGAATTCGGTCAATTCATCATACAGAGTTAACTAGTGCTCAGTATTAAACTGTTTCGAACAGAAGAAAAACGACCATTCTAACCTCCAGCTGATGTTCGTCTATGCTCAGATCAGTCGCAAAATGTTTCCGTAAGTGGTTTTATGATTTGTACTTGTGCATACCTGATAGAGTAACGTAGTTCGGTAGGATAAAACAATTTATTAGATAATGGTTTTTGCATAATTAAAGCCATGAGTGGTGGTCGACATAATATCGATAAACGAAAAACAATAGTGACTACCAACCATTTGGGATAGTAATTAGTTTATATCAAGAATAGTTTGCAATAACACAATAGGTCAGTTTGGAACTAGTGGATTTCAGCATAGAACCTTAGGGGGATTACACAAATTGTCCTATGAAGCTTATTCTATCCGAACAACAAATTCAACCTACATAAGAGAACTAAGATGAAAAATATCACGATAAATTTTACTTAAGTGCATTAATGTACGATTAAAAAACCACTAAAATGACCACTGACTAAACAAGAATCAATAAACTTTCTATTTATTGTAGCAATTAATATACACTATTAATGGAGAATTCATATAAAGATGATTACACTGTTTGAAGTAAAGTATGTATAAAAAGTTACACGAAGTTAAAAGTCCACAAAGGTTTAAAAAAAATTGATCCTAAACTTCTAAGACAAACTTACTATTGAGTTCAGTTATTTCCCGTACAGATGTGTGATATAATGTGAGTAATTCTTGTTTTTGCCAATTCTCTGTACGTAATTTATTTGCCAAACGTTCTCGTTTCTCATTGGCTAAATTGAAACAATTTTCTAAAAATGCATGCCTATGGTTATTTGTTGACGTATGTTGATTAATCATAGCAACATTATGCAAATTTTCTACATCTGAGTTCAAAATGCAACAATAAACATCTTTATTTATAAACTGTCCGGATTGAAGTCTACATGACAACGATTGTGAATCGTATTGATGAACACTGCTATCATAATTTGAAGTGTCTACAACCTTTAGGTTTGCGTTGGTTAGACACTTGGAAACCAGCTGACCTGAATGGTGCATTTTGGAAGCTAGTGTTAAGTTTTCACGATATTTCACAGTTAATCTAAGGGCATAAATCTTTGACTCTAGTAGTTGACGTAGTCTGCAGCAATAATTATCCATTATTTTTTCACTTTCGCTTGGTTGAAGTATTACGACATTAGAATTCGACGATGAGTCATTATTAGAAGACGCTCTACATAAATCGAAAGGGAAATAAAATAAAACATCAAGTCAGATTTAAATAAGGATTTGACCAGTACGTTTTTTTGTAAACTACAATACATGATAGGATGTCGAAGATCATTAGCTTTCGGACGTAAATAATTAATGAAAAAATATTGTTAAACTGATTGCTAGAGATCTGAGATTAAACGTTAGCAGCCTATGCTTGTTTTCTATCCTGACAGCCCAAGTATTAAAGCTATGATTAGCTCGAAACGAACTACCGTACAGTATACTTGTTATTTTATATTCAGAGAGATGTCTCACCTGTGTTAGATGTGGTACGAGTTAGAAGAGACCAAAATAAAATTCTGTATTCGTGCCGAAGTTTCGTCAGCCACAAGCTTATCATCATTGGTGCGACTTGCACGATAAACAAACTAATCAAAACACTCAGTATACATACATTACGCACTGATACTGCTAGGTTTGAAGCTATTACGAGTTCACTTAGTATGCGAACTTAACAAAGACTTGTGACCGTAGACCAATAAGCTAGCTATTTCATGCGTCCCAACCCCGCTAACTAGAGGAAGAAGTCCAAGCTTGGAACGGGAAAGTATATTCCGTAAGCCAGAAGCACGAGTGAATAATAACAGACACAAATCAAACGTATATATACAGCATAAAACTGTCCTTGGGAAGCGTTGCAAAAATAGCATACTAAAAATACACAACGGACCAATAGCGTTAAAGATTCTCCCAAGTGGGAAATATGACATGAAGGTGAAAAGTGCGCTTTTGGCGCGAAAACAAGGAAATGCAAATTTCCTTAACAGATACAAACCGTTCTTGAGTTAGAATATTGCATTTGGGGGCTAGTTAACTCCCATGCCAAACACTTTTTATATTTTTGCCTTAGATGTCTAAATGATTCTGAACAACGCTTTCTCTGAAGCTTAGCAACTGCTTAAATCGCGTGTTAACCGGAGAGAATGTATAATTGATGACGTCGATAGTTTGAGGGTATATTTACAGAACCCATAGAAAAACTGACAGAGGATAGTCATTCACATTTTAGTGTAGCTATTTTTGTAGTATTAGCTTTGAAAACTCTAAATCATGTTGCCTGTTATATCGCTGTACCCAGCTCTAGTCAATACGCACCATTTTAAACCTCGTATTTTTAATCGTATCGCTATACAATCAACCTCCCTAGTATAATGGAACACAGAAAAACAATTGTTCGAGTCAATATAGACGTATTAAGTCGTCGTTATAGGCGAGTCTAATCACAGTAGGAGCTATGGCCAAGTAGAAACAATCGAAAAAGCCAGAAAAAGGTGGATTTGAAGTACAGATTATTATACTCGGCTTAGAACCATATATGTTTTATGCAGTTAGTGGAACTAACCAGCTGCCCAGACAGAGGTTCGAGTTTATGCTGTACTGAAAGCCATCTCCTTTACCCCTTCACGAAACCGCCGCTCAACGTATTTAAACACACAGTCATGATTTAATTGCGGTTCTAGTAGGTGAAGCGCAAAATCTTAATGCAGAGAGCAGCTTGATTTTTCCTTTTGAGTGGTTTCAGGATACTAAGTATACTGTCGAGTGGGTTTCGACGGTTACCGTGAGCTGCAAAAGTAGTTAAATTTGAACTGAAAAATTACTGTTAATACTTTCCTGAAAAGTGGTGAGGAAGACATGAAACGGAGATTTAGTGAACAATGAGGAATATTCTACTGCTAAGGGTTACACTAACCGTAACTTTACACATGCCCATACTGACGATGTCTTGAATTTTAAGCACCACAAAATATGAATTAGAAGGTAAAATAGATGGCAGCTTACAACTCATAAACTTGTCCTGGATATACTATTTATCACAATATTTGACTCTAATTATATACTTTTAAATTCAACCCGAATAAAAAACAATTAGGAATTTTAAGAACAAAACACTAGATTCTTTAGCATTTACTTACTGAATAAGGGACATAGATGTTGGAATACACTTTTCAGTTGAATTGCTAGGTACATTATTAGCATTATTTGATCCCACAAAACTACGCACAGGAATTACACCAATTTCAGTGAGTTGAGCTTCGACCAACTGACGCAAACGAACTTCTTCACCTAAATTTTGCTCAATTGTGTTTAAATTAACCCGTTCAGTACGGCATTTATTAGTTAGCTTTGAAATACGTGATGAAATACCCTCGTTCTCATGACGTTGGTTGGACAGACTGAGTCGATTGAGGTGATCGTCATGTTGAAGACTGTTTAATTGGTTACGCAATTGTGTTTCCAGTCCACGCATGGACTGTAATTCGGAACGGAGACGTCTAACGTTACTCTCTAATCTATTGTAAAAATATCAGCAAAGTGTACGTTAGTTCTTAGATAAAGTACAATACACAAAAGTATACAAATAATCAATACAACGTATTATTTTGAACAATCAAGGTCATTTTTTCTGCTAGGGAGAAATTAGGTTGTATAGGTATTTGTTATTAACTCCGCCTGTAGCTCTTATAGGGTTGCTGCCGGTCCCAAGCCCGGGTAAAGGAGGAGGGTTGGGCATGGGGTTAGCGTCCCCATCCCGTAGAAAACTAACTCGCTAAAAAAACGCTTACCAGAAAAAATAATCCAAACTATTTTAACTCTGCCCTGGGAGTTAGAAGGTCTTCATTTAGAAGAATTATGACGCTTCATGGTGAAAGCCGAGTTCCTTCGGAAGCCACGAGGCCGATGCCCCTTCTAACAACCAGAGCAAAAATTTTTGTAGGTACATGGAACGTTCGAACAATGTGGGAAACCGGGAAGACCAGTCAAATAGCAATGGAAATGAGGAGATACAACTTAGCAGTACTGGGAATCAGCGAAACCCACTGACCCAAGCTGGACAGAAAAGGCTAGCTACGGGAGAGATGCTGCTATACTCCGGTCACGAAGAGGACAATGCTCCACACACTCAGGGAGTCGCTCTTATGCTGTCCAAAGTAGCACGAAATGCACTTGTAGGATGGGAATCTCACGGACCCAGAATCATCAAAGCATCATTCAAAACAAAGAAGGAGGGGATCTTAATGAATATTATCCAATGTTATGCACCCACCAATGATAGCAACGACGACATCAAAGATCAGTTCTACGAGCGGCTGCAGTCAATCATTGAGAAATGCCCAAGAAAGGACCTAACTATTCTGATGGGAGATCTAAATGCCAAAGTTGGAATAGACAACACTGGATATGAAGATATTATGGGACGACATGGACTGGGAGAAAGAAACGAAAATGGAGAAAGATTTGCAAATCTATGTGCATTCAACAAATTGGTCATAGGAGGCACAATATTTCCACACAAGCGTATACACAAGGCTACATGGATCTCACCGGACCACACTACAGAGAACCAAATAGATCATATTTGCATCAACAAGAAATTCCGAAGGACAATGGAAGATGTGAGAACCAGGAGAGGTGCTGACGTAGCTTCAGATCACCACCTAGTTGTAGCCAATTTGAAACTGAAGCTAAAAAAGAACTGGACAAGTGGACAAACAGCAATACAAAGGTTCAATACAGCCTTCCTTCGAGATTCTGTCAAACTCAATGAATTCAAGATAGCTCTCAACAACAGGTTCCAAACCTTACAAGATCTACTGAAAGAAGAAGAAACTACTATGGAGGACAACTGGAAAGGCATCAAGGAAGCATTAACTTCAACGTCTCAAGAGGTTCTCGGTCTAAAGAAATACCATAATAAGGAATAGATCTCTACAGAAACACTGGACAAGATCAAAGAAAGGAAGAACAAGAAGGCAGCAATTAACAACAGCCGAACACGAGCAGAGAAAGTCCAAGCACAAGCTGAATACATAGAAGCAAACAAACAAGTGAAGAGGAGCATTAGAGCCGACAAGAAGAAATACGTGGAAGAACTAGCAACGACGGCAGAAAAAGCTGCTAGAGAAGGAAATATGAAACAGCTTTACGATACAACGAAGAAACTATCAGGGAAATACAGTAAACCAGAGAGGCCGGTCAAAGACAAAGAAGGCAAGCCAATCACCGAAATTCAACAACAGCGTAACAGATGGGTAGAATACTTCGAAGAGCTCCTGAATAGGCCGGCTCCAATGAATCCACCGAACATCGAAGCAGCACACATAGATCTTCCTATAGATGTCAATCCACCAACTACGGAAGAAATTAGAATGGCCGTCAGACAAATCAAAACCGGGACAGCAGCGGGACCCGACAACATACCAGCTGAAGCACTGAAATCAGACATCGAAGCAACCACAAGCATGCTTTATCTTCTATTCAAAAAGATTTGGGAGGAGGAACAAGTGCCGATGGACTGGAAAGAAGGACACCTCGTCAAGATTCCAAAGAAAGGAGATCTGAGCAAATGTGAAAACTACAGAGGCATAACACTACTGTCAATACCAGGGAAAGTCTTCAACAGATTGTTGCTGAACCGGATGAAGGATGCAGTAGACGCCCAACTTCGAGATCAACAAGCTGGATTCCGTAAGGATCGGTCGTGCACAGACCAAATTGCAACACTACGGATCATCGTAGAACAATCAGTTGAGTGGAACTCATCACTATACATCAACTTCATTGATTATGAAAAGGCATTCGACAGTGTAGATAGGAGGACATTCTTCGACACTACGGAGTTCCTGAGAAGATTGTCAATATTATCCGGAACTCATACGACGGACTACAGTGCAAAGTAGTGCATGGAGGACAGCTGACAGATGCATTCCAAGTAAGGACCGAAGTCAGACAAGGCTGTTTACTCTCTCCCTTCCTCTTTCTTCTGGTGGTCGACTGGATTATGAAGACCTCAACATCTGAAGGAAAACACGGAATACAATGGACAGCTCAGAACCAATTAGAAGATTTGGACTTCGCAGATGACCTAGCCCTCCTATCACGTACACACGAACAGATGCAGATGAAGACAGCCAGTGTAGCAGCAGTCTCTGCATCAGTAGGCCTCAGCATACACAAAGGGAAAACTAAGGTCCTCAAATTCAAAGCGGAGAACAGCAATCCAATCACACTTGATGGCGAAACTCTGGAAGATGTAGAATCCTTCACATACCTGGGAAGCATCATCGATGAACAAGGAGGATCCGATGCAGACGTAAAGGCGAGGATCGGCAAAGCAAGGGCCGCTTTCCTACAATTGAAGAACATATGGAACTCAAAACAACTTTCAACCAATATCAAAGTAAGAATCTTCAATACGAACGTCAAGGCAGTTCTACTGTATGGAGCTGAAACTTGGAGAACTACAACAACCACAATCAAGAAAGTACAAGTATTTATAAATAACTGTCTACGCAAGATACTCAACATCCATTGGCCGGATACCATCAGCAATAGCCTTCTGTGGGAGAGAACAAACCAACTTCCAGCTGAAGAAGAAATTAGGAAAAGACGATGGAAATGGATAGGACATACATTACGCAAATCGTCAAACTGCATCACGAGGCAAGCCCTAACTTGGAATCCTGAAGGGAAGCGAAAAAGAGGAAGGCCAAAGAACACATTGCGTCGGATAATAGAAGCAGATATGAAAACGATGAATTACAACTGGACGGAGCTAGAAAGGATTGCCCAGGACAGGGTTGGATGGAGAATGCTGGTGAGCGGCCTATGCTCCTTCACGAGGAGTAACAGGCGTAAGTAAGTAAGTAAGTAAGGTATTTGTTATTACATGTCAGTTCTTTCTTCAAACGATAAACACGATGACAACTTTCTAGTTCATATTTCCGCGATAACCCTAGCTGCGACCTTATCGGTTGTTATTCTTTTTAGTTTGCTTTATTACATGTTCAAGATTATTGCACTTTATTATAGAAAGAGCTGTTGTACTTCATTCTTTTACTTCTATTAGGGGTATAAAGCTATACTAAAAATCCTGTCATCTCTATCTTATGCATTATCAATGTTGAAGTGATATAAGTTCGGTTTGTTCGAGTTCCTACTCGTTTGCGTTTGTATAAGGAGAATCCCAATCGTCCAGTAATTAACGATTACCGTAAGTCCGTGCCGAACCATCAAACTAATAGATATAATAGCCTCAAAATAAAGTTACATGGTAAATGTTACCCTGAATAAAATTTATCACTAATAGGAACAGAATTGATCCAATGAACTAAATTAAACGATTCTAGAGCAAATTAAAGAGTAGTATATGATAAAACACATACAAGTAGCTTCGAAAGTTCTTTAGCTGGTGCCCTGGTACGGCCGAGGGTGGGGAGAGTCCACTCTCCCTCTCGAAATACTCTCACAAGGCCACGCGCATACAGCCTCTGCAAGGGAAGTCCTACCCACTACCTGCCCCCGAATGCCCTGGTACGGCCGAGGGTGGGGAGAGTCCACTCTCCCTCTCGAAATACTCTCACAAGGCCACGCGCATACAGCCTCTGCCAGGGAAGTCCTACTCATTGCCTTCTCGTGGCGGGGGTGTTGTTTACGAAATTGAGAGGACGAAAACCGAGTGTCCAGCGCTTTAACCGGATCCCAAACCAATGGTGCACATGGGCTCAAATATCCTGCGGGAACAAATGGCGTATGAACCAATCGTTGGTCACCGGCTACCATGGGATTGCATCTCCTTACGATGCTCCACTGCCTTGTGGGTTAGACCTTTAGGTCAAAGGCTCGGGGAGCGGCCCCCTAAGATAACCACCTGCTTCGGTCTGGGCAGCCGGGAAGTATCACAGCCCACACACAAATTGATGAACTCTCTATACGTATGGAAATTACTTTTCTCGCTTCGAAAAACAAGCAATTGATTCAAATTATTATCATTACAATTATTGTCATTATTAATATTATTATTATTATTATTATTATTATTATTATTATTATTATTATTTCCCACATTATTCACCCTCTTTTATACTTATACAGCGGCTCGTCTTTGGTGGAAATTCGACTCTATCTAAACGTTCTCGAGTCACTGTCCGGTTGAAAGTTGTATGTTACCATCGAATATGAGTACTGAAGCAGTTTTTCTGAAACCACGTGCGCCATTCAAACTGGCTGCCTTAAACGTTCGCACACTTATGCAGATCGGACAACAGATAGGGCTGGCTATGTCTTTGGAAAGTCTTAATATTGATGTTTGTTGTCTATCCGAGAGCCGTATTCAAGACTCTGGCGAAGTACTACAAATTCAATCACCATCTGTCGCTTCGAAAAGCTTGTTTTACGTGCGCTTATCCGGGGACCCTGTGGCATCTTCGTCTGGTCTTGCAGGCGTTGGTGTCGCACTAAGCGCTAGAGCTGAGGCAGCACTAATCGATTGGATCCCCATTAACAGTTGGTT